TGAATTACCATCGGTCCCTCATCTCTTGGGGTATAATCAATGCGACTTATGAGTTCTTGTTAAAGATGATTTGAAAGAAACCAGTTAAGTGCCATTTATTAACTGCATAGACCTAAGAAGAATGTAGTTTGGCTTTGTTCCCAATTGACCAAATACAGGTTGTTGTCATAAGTTCAGGGCACAATGAATTATGGGGCAGAGCTGTTTTCCTTCAGCACCAACAAATTCAGAATAAAAGGTTCTAATAGGAAAATTTAAGGGGTTTTTGGTTTTGTTTTGTAATCATTATCTAAGAACTTTAGGCTAATTGCCTGGTTAATAGCTATCTATCTGATGGCTTTTGACAAGGAAAGCTAATAGCCAAGATATGGTTCTTTTCTCCAAAAGTCTTTAAATCTTCTGTATTGAAACATCAGTGGCCATGACCAGCCAGAGAAAAGGCTCTTAGAGCCCTGTGAATTCTCAGGCTCTCTTCTCTTACTCCATTTCTTCTCTGCTCTTAGGAGTTGCAAAGGGTAGTATTCGTTAAACATAAGCATTTAACGTGGTAGGACAGAGAAGAGAAAAACAGCTTATTATTAGATGTAGGCTTTTCATGATAAATCGCTTGTGTTAGTTTTGAAACTAAGTACATGTTGGGATGGTCATCATCCAGACTATTCAGACACAGTAGGGCAGACCCAAGCAGCAGGTGAAAGCTCCCATTTTGCTTTCTGAGTTGGAAAGTGTTGTTTAGTTCTGAATGTGACCTTAAACCCTTCGAATGCCCTTACGTTAATTTCACTTATTTTATTGCCAAAAGATGGGGAGACTTACATTTCGTCACAGCTGTTTGATCCTGTGAAGAAATTTCACATGAATTGCGTATGGATCAAACTCTGGTTAGTTTAGTTCTTTGATTAATTGTTGCCAACTTAGTGAAGAGCTGTGGGAGTTTGGGGAATATTTTCACTTTGAGTCCTAGTTTCTCATATTCAAGTATCCTGTTCTCTTGAACTCTCCTTAAAAAAAAAAAAAAAAAAAAAAAGATAAATACTTGCATAATATTGAATTTTGGAAGTCTGTTAATGGGACTCTAGATTTTTCCCTCCTGGTTTCTAAGTGTTACAGAAGAGAAAAAAAAAAAACCTCGATAGCTTTCACCCCAGAGTGTTAGTTGTCTTTTTTATTTTACTCTTGGAAATGGAGACTTCTATTAGGATTTTTACATTTTGGGAACCCAGTTTTACCATTTTATCATTAAAGCCATTTGAGGTGATAAAATCTAAATCAAGATATTTAGAAGGTTCATTTTAAATGCTAGAAGTTGGTAAGAGCTGGATAGCATACTCATCCCCTACATAACAGAGAAAAACTTGTTGAAGGAATCAGATTTTAAAGTCTTATGCCCTGATCAGTAAGGCAAAATGCCTCCTATTTACCAATTGAATAACTAATAAAACCTGAAACATCCTAGAAAAGTGGTTTATCAATCTTTTAAAAATCCCCATCTGTAAATATGTAGTTAAGATTGCTTGCCAGCATCTGACATGGCAGAGTAGTTAAGTTTCTTATTACCAGTTTTTCCTCATTCTGGGTAACTGCATATGAATATGTGCATACACTGACCAAAACAAAATCAGGGTCTCAGCTGGTAGTTTACTCAGTTTCTGGGCAGATAGTCCAAAAGAGATGTTTACCTCTAAATGCAATATGGCTGGTCACATAAGCATCCTTCCAACCTTAAAGGATTGGGAAGCATTATCAAGCATTTGCCAGGCAGTAATGAGGCCCAGTAGCTTTACAACAGCCCTGTTTGGAAATGTTGTGTTGGAAATGGCAGTTTACTTTGAAAACCAAGATGCAGATGTGAGGATTTCAGAAAACAAGGATTTGACACCGAATAAACGAATAAACGTGAGTAGCATCTTTGGCTTATTGAATGGAGTCTGGCTTTGAAGCGGGTTGGATTTGGGGGCATGAATGACAAAGGCACTGGTGCTGGAGCACTGATGGGTGTGTGTAGGTGCTCAGCGTGTGGCAGGTGAGTCAGCCTGGGGCCATGCTCTGGGAATGGGCTTCCTTTTGTCTATACACTCCAGTAAGGTGATGGATAACCAAGTTCTGAAGCACTTTTGTGAAATAGAAGTGAAGTGAGAATTTGAAAGGGGATGCTTTGGTTTCTGCAGTCTCAAACTTGTGGCATTTAAAAACAAATATTTTTAATGGTTTTAACTCCTAATATATTGGATTTCTTTGTCACATTTTACAGCTTCTGAAGACCAAACTGCAAATACATTACCAGGGATGGTTTCGTGTTGTCCTATAGACCTTTTAAATTTGACAAAATTCAGCAGGACTTGCTTGTGGTAGCCAACAGCTTTGTCTGAACTTTAAAAGAAGTCAAAGTGTTATTAATAAGAGATTCTAACTATGCTTTTTTATCTTCAGTATGAACTAGTAATAATTTTGAAAAGGCAAACATGATTGAATAACTATCTGAAGAGCTTTAAAAGTGGCCTTTTTGTTACATAGGTGGCACAGATGCCTTATGAGCACAGGGCCCTTCTGGTCCTGCCTCCCATACTTCAGCTCTGATGCCACCAGGAATATGTTACAGATTCTGTATTTAACACACTTAGGAATGGTATGAGCCCTTAGGACTGCATCACAGAGTACACGCCACCTTTATATGGTGGCAGGTTTGTGTGTCTTTGTTTCATTTGTGGTTGGAGACAGTTGATGTTTTTGTCTCAATAATCAATATTCTTCTTTACGGTTGGTTATGTAATTACCTGCTGTATATTGTAAACTGTGCAATAAAACAGAATTGTGTATATAGAATCATCTTTGGAGACCTGAACTTTCCTAGCTCGATGACAGGGGTAATACTCCGCTCTAGTGCTGTGCAAACATGTAAGGGAATCGTGGGTGGCACACAGGATGTGTGGAGCGGGTCAGCCGATCACACTGCTGGAAATGGCAGGTCAGTGCAGATGAAACTGTGTAGTGAGGGGTATGCAGTCAAAATGAAGGCGAGACAGGCCATCACATGTGAAGAAAGGGTGAGCCCTCAGACTTGATTTCCTTTAAATTAAGATACTGTTTTCTCATGTGCATATAAATGCATATTAAAGACTTGAACAGGCATTCTCTTTAAACTTGAGGACTTTTCATTTTTAATACTGTCATTTTTGCTTAATAGTAAATATTTGCTTGCCTAAGTGACTCCCAAATTGTGGGGGACTCTCTACGTGTCCCTTTTTTTAAAGTTTCATGATGAAAAGTGGTTAAGCACACAAAGCTGTTTTTGTTTGATATTTTGAGTTTTGTGACTGAGTTTAAATGAAATCTGTTAAATGTGTTAGAGTTAACATTCTTCTTTTGGTAATTCTGTTTGGAATAAAGTTGTTTGTTTTTTTTAAGTCCATTCTATTTGGTCTTCTACTGTGGTTGGGTTAGGGTTATTGGCACAACTTTTCTGTGGTTCAGGCTTGTCACTGTTGCTAACCATTGAGCACTCTGCTTTGACTGTAGCACCTTCACCTGTTAACTTTGTAGGTCCTTCATTTATCCGTCTTTGGTCAAGAAGAGTTCCAGATAAGTTAATTTTCCAGATAGCTTAATTGCAAAATATTTTTTAAAATGGTTTTTCTCAAATAAACTTTTCCCTACTAAGTATTACCTTAGTAAATGCATCTTATCAGTAATTTCTGTGGTAGAATGTGCCTTCAGGTCACACCTACCCCCACGCTAAGTGGTCTGGACCTTTGTGCTGTTTTGAGTTTTTTATATCTACGTTTGACTTCCCAGCTACGCCTTTCTGTTAGGGGATTGTGAAATTATTTTAGCTACATTGTTTACACATTAAATTTTCAGGTGTTCCCTGTCTCTAGGGACAGTCGCGGCTGCCTGGTGAGGACCACGAGGAAGGGGAACAATTGCCATAATGTTTCTAAAACTCCAGTTTAGAATTCATTGTATATATATTCTGAACTTCCGAACTGGTAAAAGGGGTGTTGTGCATGGCATGTGATGCGATGCCGTTTCAGCCCAGCCGCTGGGGTGCTATTATAGACTACTGAGCGCATTTCTCCGTGTGACCTGGTGTGGGCAGGGTGCTTCGGATCTCTAAGAGGTGGGCACCCAACTTCATTTAGCATCTGAAATTTCCAATGGGGACATTTTTTCCAGTGAGCATAACTGATTTTGAAGTAGAAACTGAAGATAAAATAAGATTTTTTCTAAATTCTGTCCCTTCAATCCATTCTGCATATTGCTTTAAGACTAATTCTTTAGATGCACGGATCCAGGTCCGCCCCCCCCCCCCCCTCCCTTCCTGTCATCACTGGCTAACATGGTCCTGCTCAGTGCCCGCCTTCTTCCACAGGAACTTGGGTGCTCTCGCAGCCTCCCCGGCCTCTGCCCAGGCCACGTTCCCCTGCCCTGAGCACAGCACCCTTCCCTGATGGCTCAGTAACTCCTGCTGAGGCCTTCAGATCTCTGCTCCAGCGTCACTTCCCCAGGGAAGCCGGCTCCCACTTGCAGGACTAAGTCAGGTTTCCCTTCTCTGTGTTCTTGTGCCACCATGTTCCTGTTTTTCATAGCACTTAATTGTTTTAATTGGACTGTGCTGATTTGCTGTTTCCTGCCCCTTTTGAATGGCAGCCACCTGAGGCAGGGGCTCTGCCATAGCTTCCTGTTTCAAGTGTCCTGCCCAGTGCCTGACACCTGGTGGAGCTCTGGTTAACAGTAAAGAATCAGTCAAGAGAGTAAAAGGACATGTGGATATTCAGGTATTCAGGATCATGGCATTCTGGAATAGCCTTTTTTTTTTTTTTTTTTTTTTTTTAAATTTTGAGACAGAGACAGAGCCAAGTGGGAGAGGAGCAGAGAGAGAGAGAGAGAGGGAGACACAGAATCGGAAGCAGGCTCCAGGCTCTGAGCTGTCAGCACAGAGGCCGACATGGGGTTTGAACTCAACAAACCGTGAGATCATGACCTGAGCCAAAGTCGGATGCTCAACTGACTGAGCTACCCAGGTGCCCTAGCATTGTGGAATATCCTGTCTGACTTTCCTTCCTTGATGGGTCATGGAGGTTGGGTAAGGACGAAACTTTTACACTGCTTGGGCTGCCATAGTGAAATACCACAGACTAAGTGGCTTAAACAACAGACATTTATCTCTCTTCAGTTCTCGAAACTAGGAAGTCCAAGCTCAAGGTTCCGGCAGATTTGGTTCCTGGTGAGAGGCCTCTTCTTGATGTGCAGACTTCTCACTGTGTCCTCATGTGGCAGAAGGAACCTCAATGAGCTCATCTAAACCTAGTCACCTCCTGAGAGCCCCACCTCCAGGTACTGTTACATTGGGGGTTAGGCCTTCAACATACAATTTTGGGAGGCCGGGGGGGGCATAAACAGTCTGTAACATGTATAAGCCTGAATGATGAGCCTAATGATTATTTCCTTAAAATAGTGTTGTTGACTGCTTGCTGCTTTGTTGCTGTTGAAGTGCCACGAAGGCAGTGACTTGTTTTAATTGAGAGCAAATCACAAAGCATTTCTATAGTTCCATGGCCAACAGAAATAAAAGTTTCGGGGCACCCAGGTGGCTCAGTCAGTTAAGCGTCCGACTTTGGCTCAGGTCATGATCTGGTGGTTCCTGAGTTTGAGCCCCGCATCAGGGTCTGTGCTGACAGCTCAGAGCCTGGAGTCTGCTTCTGATTCTGTGTCTCCCTCTCACTGCCCCTCCCCCACTCACGATCTGTCTCTGTCTCTTAAAAATAAACATTAAAAAAAAGTTTCAGGGGCGCCTGGGTGGCGCAGTCGGTTAAGCGTCCGACTTCAGCCAGGTCACGATCTCGCGGTCCGTGAGTTCGAGCCCCGCGTCAGGCTCTGGGCTGATGGCTCGGAGCCTGGAGCCTGTTTCCGATTCTGTGTCTCCCTCTCTCTCTGCCCCTCCCCCGCTCATGCTCTGTCTCTCTCTGTCCCAAAAATAAATAAAAACGTTGAAAAAAAAATTTTTTTTAAAAAGTTTCAGTTCAGGTACTCTTTGGGAAACCAGTCATTATTAGCAGTTCCTTGTTGTTATGTAAGGCGGAGGACTTGCTCCTGATCTGAAGCACACACTAAAAAATGGGGAATACATTTAGTTACATGGAGATGCTACCTTTTTGTTTCATACGACACTAGGGGAGAACTTCTTTCTCTTTCAAGGGTCATCATAGCTACAGTTGATAGGTGGCTCCTGGTATGTAGCTTCCTCCTTTCTCTTGGGCTAAAAGCAGCTTTGGAACTTTTCCTACTCTTCTAGAACAATTGAACAAGAAATTTCCAGGTTTTCTTGGGCTCCTCACTCCCCACTAAAAAATAGCCATAGAGTTTTGGGGACAGATGGTAGGGAGTAGTGCGTATGTATGGGAACCAAGTGCTTTTTGTTTGTAATGTCTGCATAAACTGGAGGTAAAGGGTAAGAAGAAGTTAGGAGGTGAGGGCCTGAGTTTGGAGGTGTCCTAGGTTTCATAGGCCTTGAGAAAGCATGGGTGAAGTCCAAGACCAGAGATTTGCTGGATGTGTGGAGCTCTTCAAAGCTTCTGCTACTTGTGGTCCAGGAACAGAAAAGCATGTTGTTTTTGTGATTGAGGGCAATACTACACATATTCGAGTTTGTGTCAACTCAAACTAGAGAAAAACAGAATCCTTATTAATGGCAGTTTGTGCCTTTTATAGTTTTTCCCTTGTTTATTTTGCTTAGCAAATTTGCCATGCATCCATCTGCTCAGTACTGGAGAGCTGCCCTTTGAAGGACAATCATTTTGAGTTAGAAGATTCTAGACTTGTGGGAAATACAGAGCATTGGCTGCCCGAGACCAATTCCGAAGTAAAAATGTAAACCTCCCTTGTTTCCTTACTGACTCCCACGCTGGATTAGGTCTCCTTCTGTGGCATATGATGACTGTTTCACCCCTGGCTCTCTCTCCATGGTGTTTGTGCTGTATCCTTCATGTATCCTTCAAGACCATGTGAAAACTCACTGAGGGCAGGGACTCTGATCTTTTTATCCACGGACTAGAGGTTCTCATAATAAATATCTACTCAGTGAATGAATCCTCTGATCCCAGATGTTGTCTTTATCACTGTTATTCTCCCTGTTTCGGAGACACTTTGAATTCCTTAGGAATGTCTTTTAAAATCATCAAGGAAGAATGCATATCGTATGATTCCATTTATGTGAATTTCTAGAAGAGGCAAAAAAATTTGTGCCAGAAAAAAGAAAACAGTGGTTGCATCTGGGAGGGAGGGAGGGAGGGGAAGTAGACTGGAAGGGGCATGAGGGAACTTTCTGGGGTGACGGTAGTAATCTATATCTTGAATAGGGGTTTGGATTACACAGGTGTGTACATTTGCCTAAACTTCAGAAATATACCATTAATACTTGGGCACTTCATCATGTGGAAAATGTAAAACAAAAGAAAAAGATACTAAACGTTAATGACATGTATTGCTGAGGATTTTTAGGGTACAGATATCTGCAATTTATTCAAAATACCCCCAAAATTAAGATCGATTGATGGATGGGAGTATTAGACAAGCGATAGAACAATTAGGAAAATATTAAGGATAGAATTGTGGTAAACATGTTCGCTGTAAAATTCAGCTTTGCTGTATGTTGAACATTTTCATAACAAAATGCTGAGACACATTAGGGGCTTTATCACAGAATGTGCCATCCACATTTACGGACTGTGTAGTTTCAGTGTGTGTGTTCTCAGACTTGCACAAAGCCGCAGGATGCAAAGCCCTCCTTGCTAGAGGGGAACTGTGGCAGTTCCCACTGATCAGAGAGTATGGTGGCCACCTCGTCCACTGTGCAGAGATTGTGACAGGGCTAATCAACTTACTTTTTTCTTAGACTGCCCCAGAGGTGAGGGGGTCTGCCCATCCCTTGAAGGGACAAGCGGAGGGATCATGATTGACCTGCCAATACACTGTAACTTTCCATAAATGCCAGGAAATCCTTTTAATTACACACATTTTTTTAAATGTTTTTTTCATTTTTTTAAGAATCTTAATTTTTGAGAGAGAGAGAGAGAGAGCGCACACATAAGCAGGGGAGAGGCAGAGAGAGGAGGGGACGGAGGATCCAAGCGGGCTCTGTGCTGACAGCAGAGAGCCTGATGCAGGGCTTGAACTCACAAACTGGGAGATCATGATCTGAGCCAAAGTTGGATGCCTAATCAACTGAGCCATCCAGGCGCCCCATACATACACTTATTAAGTGTGCACACACACAAGATGAGGTAATAACTGCTTAAACATAAATACAATATTTTCAGAACAGATCTGATACTTTGTATTTAACTTTTTAAAAAAAATTTTGTTTCTTCTTGAGAGAGAGAGATACAGAGCATGAGTGAGAGGGAGGGTGGGAGAGAGAGAGGGAGGGAGACACAGAATCTGAAGCAGGCTCCAGGCTCTGAGCTGTTAGCACAGAGCCCGACACGGGGCTCGAACTCAACGAACCGGGAGATCATGGCCTGAGCTGAAGTCGGACACTTAAGCGACTGAGCCACCCAGGTGCCCCATGTGTTTAACTTTTAAGAAGTAATCCTTTAACAATGAAATTTGGATCCTTCATTTTACCCCAAAATGAATCTCTTGTATAGTGAAGGGCTTTTTGCAAATTAATGTCAGTGTGGCAGTCTAGTGTACCCGTAATTTAAATGGCTTTCTTAGAGAAAGACAAATATTCTATGACTTCATTCATATGTGGAATTTAAAATACAAAACAGATGAACATAAGGGAAGGGAAGCAAAAATAATATAAAAACAAGGAGGGGGACAAAACATAAGAGACTTTTAAAGACAGAGAACAAACAGGATTGCTGCAAGGATTGTGGGAGGGGGGATGGGCTAAACGGTAAGGGGCATTAAGGATTAGACACCTGTTGGAATGAGCACTGGGTGTTATACACACAGGATGAATTACTGGAATCTCCTGAAATCATTATTGCACTATATGCTAACTTGGGTGTAAATTAAAAGATAAGTAAAATTTTAAAAAATGGCTTTCAACAGAGGTGATTTCCCAAAAAAAAAAAAAGGCTTAAAAAAATGTTTTGAGTTGTCTGTGCCCTGGTTAGAGTTTCACTTGTTCCTTTTCTGGATTGACTGTTAGCAACAGTTGCAGCCATCTATAGCTCACACCAGAGAGTGTATTCCTGTGGCAGGGCTCCTCTTCTTGAGTTAGAAGATAAGCCACACAGCACCAAGTCTGTTCCTCAGAAGGTAAGATGATTATTTAACTTAGGGAAGTCGAAGCTCTCAGTGGTGGAGTGCCAACCTGACAGTGTCCTGAGAATGGCCTAGTTGATGGGACGAACTGGTGTTCATAATATATAACCAGCCTCCAAAGTTAGGATATTCTCTTTAAAAAAGGTGGCCGGTGAGGGGGGGGGGTGCGGGGGACTGGGGGGCTCAGTCGGTTAAGCTGTTAAGCTTCTGACTTCAGTTCCGGTCATGATCTGGCCAGTCCGTGGGTTCGAGCCCTGCGTCAGGCTCTGTGCTGACAGCTGGGAGCCTGTAGCTGCTTTGGATTCTGTGTCTCCCTCTCTGCCTCTCCCCCACTCACACACTGTCTCTCAAAAATGAATAAATGTTAAAAAATATATTATTAAAAAAGTTCTTTTAAATTGGCTTCCTTTATATAGAGCTTCCCGAGATCTGTCATCCATGAAAAATTAAACCCTAACTACATTTTCTATATTTGTAGTTCTCAAGTTGTGGTGTCCAGATATACAGCATCAGCTGGGAATTGGTTAGAAATGCAAATGGCGACTCCAACCCTAGACCTATGAAATCAGAAACTCTGGGTGTGGACCCGGCAGTCTGTTTTCACAAGCCCTGCAGGTGACTCCATGCTTGCTGGAGATAAAGCACCACTTTTCATGTCCTCTGCCAGAGGGGAGGGCGTTGGAGGAAAAATCAGTGGACGCCAATTTGTGTTTTCTTTGATTTTTTTTTTTTCAACGTTTATTTATTTTTGGGACAGAGAGAGACAGAGCATGAACGGGCGAGGGGCAGAGAGAGGGGGAGACACAGAATCGGAAACAGGCTCCAGGCTCTGAGCCATCAGCCCAGAGCCCGACACGGGGCTTGAACTCACGGACCGCGAGATCGTGACCTGGCTGAAGTCGGATGCTCAACCGACTGCGCCACCCAGGCGCCCCTTATTTGATTTTTTAAGTAAGCTCTATGCCCAACGTGGGGCTTTAACTCATGACCCGGAGATCAAGAGTTGCATGCTGTACCCACCGATGAGCCGCTCAGGTGCCCCAAATTTGTGTTGTTTTAAATTTGTGTTAATTTGTAGTAATTTGTTACATCAGTAATAGGAAACTAATATGAATCATTAATTCATTAACATTAAAACATGCCAAATGTTTCCTTAAAAAAAAAAAAAAGAAACTTTTAAAATAGCCCAAACCATGTCTGTCAGAGGAATCACTGAAATAGTGGTAATTAATGCTGTGTTTAGTTGCAAATCAGTTTGAACAATTTCACAAAATAATCTGAATTGAAAGGAATTCACTTTTTCTCCTCAATGACTTATTTTAAAATGAGTGTTCCAAATGACTCATTTTTCTAGTAAATTAAAATAGTGTGGTAAAATGACCCATCACACTATTAAACGGTAAAACAAAAGGTCATTCAAGGGAAAAACATGTTCTAAGTGTATCTATATGAAAACAAAAAAATCTATCAACTATGCTTCTTATTGATAACACTGTTTCACGGAATAAAGAATTAATTTACAAGGCTCTATAAAACTTGATTCATGTTGAATAAACTTGTAAACATCCAGCACATTAGTCAACAAATGTGAATCAGCTCCTAGTAAATGTGTTTTCAGTGTAAAATGCGAATTCTGTGTTTTAGAATGGTGGCCTTCACAAAATGAAAGGTGCATATGCCAGTGGAAGCATAAGATGATCCAGGAAGTGCAGGAGGTAATGTAGAACTTTGACTTTTAAAAGTCCTATCCTTTTAAAATACCCTTTTTCTCTTTGCATGTTTTATAATGTACATAATAGATCAGTACGATATTTTATATATAATATACACATGTATAATGTATACACATATATAAACTTATAATCAAAATTTGGAGTGTGTTTAACTTTTCAGGGAAGGGTTATATGATTGAAAGAGTGTAGAATACTCACTACAAGAATCATTAAGCCGCTGCCCCGTCACAGCCTTATGCTTGATTCTGGTCTAAAAATAAACACCTAAGCAATTTAAACAAAATTTTCAAACGGCTGAATGCAAGTTTGCCATCAACTTTTTGAGGTTAACCACACGCAAAGTGTGTCACATGTTCCAAAGCATCATTTATTTCGGAGAAGCACATTATGAGGTAGACTCACACCAGAACACTCAGTGCATATATTAATAAACGGTTTATTGAAACCTTAAAATTGCATGTAGGTAAGTATGTATGTAGATAAAATCACCCACAAACCTATGGTCATCAGTGAAAACCTCAAAACAGTTCAACCGAAATGGTAAAAAGCCAATAGACTTTTAGAAAGCCTTCCTAATTCTGAAATGAAGATTTGTTAAGATGTTTGTGGGAGGGAGGTAGTTTTAATTTTATATTTAAAAAAAAAAATTTTTTTTAACATTTTATTTGTTTTTGAGACAGGGAGAGACAGAGCATTAACAGGGGAGGGGCAGAGAGAGAGGGAGACACAGAATCTGAAACAGGCTCCAGGCTCTGAGCTGTCAGCACAGAGCCCGATGCAGGGCTCGAACTCACGGACCACGAGATCATGACCTGAGCCGAAGTCGGCCGCTTAACCGACTGAGCCACCCAGGCGCCCCAATAATTTTAGATTTTAGAAATCATTGAACTCAGTCATTCACTTTCTGGCTAGCTTTCAATGGATGGGAGTATCTTTAGTAGACAGTATGTAGAAGATACTATAAATCTTATGGTTCCCACCATGTCACAATGATGGTATTGAAGCTGGACCAGCTATAGAATTTGGAAGCCCAGTGCAAAAATGGGCTGCTTGTTCCAAAAGAGTTTTAAGATGCCTCTGGCAGCATTTAAGATGACGCCGGCATGGGGCTTTTCTCAGTGCAGGGCTCTGTAGGACTGCACTGGTTACACACCATGGCATGAGGCCAGCGCTGCAGCTGTGGGAGACCACCACCTTAGTTATCTTTGTCCCTTGAGACCCTAGTGCTAGACAAGGCGTGTAGTGTGGATTTGAATGTTTGTTGAATGAAAAATTTGAGTTTCACGGTTTTCCAAATCAGTGAGAAATGCTTAGTTTTCCTGACCCCGGGTCAGGAAAAGTCTTACTCTGATGAATAAGGTCTGTTCATCATCACAATAAGCGATAGATTTCTCTATTTGCACGTCACATTCTGGCTTCATGAGAATTTGAGGCCACGTATGGCTAAGGTTCATTTGATTCATACAACAAATAAATTATTGAACAACTACTCTGTCAGATCCTGTATTGGGTACTGGGGATACAAGAAAAGTAAGACAGTCCCTGCCCTCAAGGAGCTTACAGTCTAGTGTAAGAACTTAACAGTACCTCAGTGAGAAACTTTCTGGTGTCTAGGTTATTATCTGGAATATTTCCAACTTTCCTAAAAATATGAATCTAAAGTTAACAGCACATTTTGGAAATGAAAGACGAAGTGAAATTTAGAAGAAAATTCAAATATTCAACCATTAATGTAAAAACCATGAAATTAAAATGAGGAAGAAACTTAGGAAAGGTGAAAATTCTATTTTAAATACTATGAACAAGATTTAAATTTTAAAATTATTTTATTGTCTCTGGGTGACATTTTCATTTATAGTGACATTCATATACACATACATATACGAGGTGTGCATATGTGAGATGTGTTCCTTGGAGCCTTAGATAAATCCCGTATTTCCACTATTAATTCATTTACAACTAAAGCAGCATACAGGTAAATTTGAAACGTTCCTTTTGATAATTTCTGTTATTTGGGAGAAATCCTTGGGAATCATCCTAAAGATGTATAAATTTTGGTATGATCTTACTCTGCAATGAGACTAAAACTATCACAATGTGTGATAATTTAAACATGTATTTTTAATGGTTATTGACAAAGTTTAATGGCATCAAAAATACTCAAGTCTATGTGGATTTTATTTTCATTGTTCCCCCACCCCGGATTCTTTTCTTCCTTAAAAGCACAAAGGATCCTGTGCAAATACAGAGCCTTTGTTGTTAATTGGCTATACTTTGGTACGTTGCTTAATCTATTATTCCTTAATCTAGCAGCATCCTTAGTTTATAGTATTTTACTTAGCGGCAACTGAGAAAATAGCCTAGGCTTTAACTGGGAACTTCTGTAATCCAGGTTATTGTGAATCTGTCAGAAAGCTGGTAAGCAACCAAAAGAGCTGTCTCAAAGACTGCACAACCAGGGCTTATGCAGCTCTTTAGACACCAAGCAAGCTTGGTCATCTCGTGTCCCAGCTCATAACAGATGAACACAGCACATCAGATAGAGCCTGTTAGAGGCGGGCATATGGATACTGTGGTAGGAGACAGAACAAACTACTTAGCAGATAGAAAACATTTTTAATGAAAAAAACACCAGCAACCGGAGGCAAATGATTATATATACCTCGGGGCTGAGGGAATCACCTTATAATAATTGATACTAACTCATAATTTTATAGCCCTTTACATTTTATGAAGTATTTTACATACATCAGAGCTAATTGGATATCTGTAATAACACATGAATATAACTTTTACTTTTCATCATGAAAAAGTGAATTATGCTGAGCATGCTGTTGAAGAAGGCAGGAAGGTATACTAACATTATTTGAAAGACTTACATCAAAAATAATTATAGGTTTAAAATTTTGGCACTTAAGAGATATGCATTAGTTATCCAAAAATTCATATACTGTATATGCTTTCTTTTATGACCAACACAGGCTATTACTGAGTGAATTTTCATAACTCTCCATGGCTGCTGGTCATTAAATGGGGATGATTGTCATCAGTGTTATCAGACTAACACTTATTCTCCTGCTAAACACAAGCTTTAACAGATACTTACGGATGCCAATACCATATAGTCTGACTAATGGCAGAAACATAGGCTTCTAAAAGGTTCTCAGGGTGTTTTTCCTATATTGCACTTTCTAGAAAACAAAACTTTAACCATGATATAATGTGATCTTGGTTCTAGACACAGGCGTGGGGAACCTTTTCCTTGCTTGTCTTCCTAAAATTTTTGGTATAGCCTCATCTCGGATGTAACAAGGAAAAAGAAAATACACATGTTCTTTGGGCTTCTGTGAAAAAAGATCATGTTTTCAAAAGATTAAGATAGGGGTCTCGTCTGCTTTAGCCACTTCATTTTCATAATTAAAGATAAGAAACTACTAAATATTTGATGTTCCCAAACTTATTCAACAACACTGCCATTAACATACTGTTGTGTAGAAAACTTTTTCAAGATTTTTTTTTTTAAGTGCAATCAAACCCCACCAAGGTGGGGCTCAAACTCATGACCCTAAGATCACAAATCGCATGCTCCACCAACTGAGCCAGTCAGGTGCCCCTGTAGAAAGCTTTTTAAAACAAGTATAATTTATACTGTTTACCAACAATTATACCACATTACCAATTATAATACACTCACCAATTATCATGAATAAAAATGACTAAATTTAGAGTGAAAAACACCAGATTGGATTTTATACTCTGAAGTGAAATGAGATCTTGCAATTGTAAGCCGCAGTTTCCTCCAAGAGTCTAGCATTCCTGATGCCCTGTAATTCCCAGATTAATATCCCCCTCATGACTTGTTGATCACAACTGTTCCTCAAAGAGGACAAAGATTGTTTTGTTGCGTTTGCTGGCTAATTTTTAGTTCTCATCCGTGGCTCTATTTTTATACAAGGCTGTTTACATTTTCCTTTACTTCACAGCTACTTAACGTGCTTGCAGTTTTCCAGTTAGGAATGGACTGTATGTATGTACGCCCTGCGTTTTATGGTATTAATTCTAATGGAAATTTCCAGTCTTGCAAATGTTCTCTTACATGGTGCAGAAGGTAAGCCAGCTCTGTAGTTTACCAGCCAGCTCAGGCTAGTTGCCCATCCTTTACAAACAAAAGGGCAAAATGGCAGAATAGTAAGCAGGCTTTGGATTAAAACAGACCTGGGTCTGAATCCTAGCATTGCCACCCGATGCCAGCTCTGTGACTTAAGGGAAATCACTTAACCTTTCTGACCCTCCATTTCCTCCCAAGTCAATTGGTGATCATGTCACCCACCTTGCAAGGTATTTGGGGGGGGGGGGGGGGGGGTTGGTAGTAGAGTGTGGGCATTATTTGACACAACAGAAACTCTCTAATGGTTGAAGAATCCTGGACTGAAATTCAGAGCTGGGTGACATGTGAGTCCATGACATGCAACTCTCTCCAAAAGAGATGCAATTTATGGAACCTTTTTAAAAAATTAATGTAATTGTACTTAGTAGCTGATTCTTAATGTTAACATTGGGTGCTTTTGCCTCCAAAATTTTATTTTCCTTTAAATATGTAGGTGTGTTTTTTTTTCTTTAAAGTTTATGGCAAACCTATGTTTTTATTGTACTTTGCGGTACTTTTCTTGCTGGCTAAAAAATTCCAATTAGTTTAACATCCATGGTGAAATGATGTAATTTTACAATCTGTCCTAGAGACAACATTGTTCCAAGTGAGATGTAAGCTCCGTCCACTTGTGTACATGGCTGTCTGGTGGGTCCTACAAAGAAATGTCAGTTTTATTCATGTATTTGGGTTGTTTTGACATTTCTGTAAGATTTAAGATACTTTTCTTCTTACGGCTGGAATTCTCAGCATCTACTTCCACACCTTTTTCAATCTATTGACCAGTTTAAGGGTAGTCACAGAAATACAACTTAAAGACAAAGTGTTCATAAATCATTGACTTAACAGCCAGCAGAATACAGTAGAAATTGCCCTGAGCAAGGAGTTAGGAGACTTGAATTCAAGTTCTGGCTCTGCCACTGATTTTATCAGATGACTTTAGGCAAGTCACTTAACTTTTCTCATTCATCCAATGAGATCAAATAATGAGACTGACTGCATTTTCTACCTCTAAAATTGGTTTCATCTACCTACAATTTTAATCAAAACACCTTTTGGGAGTCAAGCACCTGAGAGGTACAGAAATACTAATGTTTAAGGTAGTGCTTTGCAAACTCTGGCCCAGGGACCACCTAAAGATTACTTGAGGTGCCTGTTAAAAATATAGATTCCTGTCCTCTCCCTGGCTCAATCAGAACCTCCTACGATAAGGGCCAGGTTTCTATGTTCTGCACAAGCTCCTCAGTGATTGTAATGCACCCTGATGTTTGAGAACCACTGGCCTAAGAGAATGTGATCTGAGAGGGAAAGAGCTAGCATGTGGCTTCAATTGATCCGGCCTCTGGCAGATCCCTTCTAAACAGAATACCACCCAAAGTGGAGACTAGAAGAAAGCTGCTTACTTCAGCAGAGCAGTCAGCCCTGTGACTGTCCCCTGCTTGATCCTTTTTACTTGCTGCGTTCCATAACCAAACACAGGAGGTCTTCGTGTTGGCTCTTTGCTTTGACATCCAAGTAACTGACTACTGTAGTTAGGACAAGGCTTGAGAGGACTGCAGCTCCCCACTCCCCGATGCTAAGGGGGCTGAGCTTGTGCCACCGCGTTCAAGGAATAAAGAGTAAAACACAACCTCTTTACTCTCAATCCCCCCCACCCCGATACTATAACTTGTCACCCTGAGTGAGTCCAATTGTCTGGCAGAGAAAACAGAAACTCTGAGCCACACTGTTCTCATCGCTCTGTGACCAGGTAGTATACTAACCTAATGAATCCTCTTTTATGTAGCAGAAATGACCAAAGCCCATTCCTTCTCTTTTCCTTTCTAAATGTTTTTGACAGGAACAAAGTACCAAGTAAGGACACATGCTAGAGATTTTTAAATTCGTACAAGTAAATTACAAAGAGAGGTGGTAATTATTTTTTCCAGAATTTCACAACAAAATTCCCCTACGGTGAAAAAATATGTATAATTTTAACAGGAAACTTAAAAGACAGTTTGTTGTAAGACTAACAGTTATGAGAATAATGCCATTATCTGTGCTCATTATAGAGAAACATAACAGCAACTTTAAAAGGCCAAAGTATACTCAGTGAAGATGGAATTTCTTTTTCAATGACCAGGATGCTGACATCAAACTTCTGGGTTTTATTCAACACTAGTGCCACGGGTTTCTCCTAACCCAGCCCAAACTCCTGCCAGACGTCCACGAAACTCACACCAAAATCCAAAAAAAAACAAGGAAAGAAGAGAAACCTGACAAGAGCTACCATGCAAAAGAAGCAGAACGGAAGTTCAGGCGGCACAGGTGAGCAGGAGCAGAGGAATGCGGCAAAAGATGCTGCTGCAGGGAGTCTACCTTGGCGAGGACCCTGCGATGCTGGACGACCAAGTACTCAGGTCACAGGTGTGTTCATGGACCCATAAGAACTGGGATCTTGACCCAAACTTTCAAGATCTTCTAAAAAGAAAATACTTCACCTGAATTGAAGTAATTCATAAGTCAAACACCAGAAGAGTTCCTTATTTGATGTAAGTTGTGCCTAAAACTTTGGCTGATACAAAGAAACCCGTCCACTAAGGCACCCTGAGGCAATCTGACAATGTGTTGGAGAGAACTTTGTCGTCAGTACCACATCATTATGAGAGTACAGAGAACGGATCACCCGCAGGGGACTGGCTTCTTTGGGCAAACAGTCAATAAGTTCACTGCACTGTTTGTCAAATCCCAACAAGCGAATCCCGTAGCCGTGTGGGGAAGAAATCATCCGCCCATCAGGGCTGAAGCAAAGTTCTTTGATATAACCCCTGCCTACGTTGGCTTCTTCAATGTAATGAGTTAGTCGTAGAGAACAGCGAGGGGAGACAGGTCGCACGGGAGCTCCTTCTTGGAATTCATAGACACAAGTCCACTGGGGGAGAGAAGAGAAACAAACCAAAGTTACAGAGCCCCAAATAATGCTAGATATTTCTTTTTGTAAAAAGCTCAAAAGACTGCTGAATTCACAAAATCTTTGCAAGAAATCATTCAGATGAGTGTACTGCTCTCCCAGTTAAAAAATGTGCAGGCCCCATTCCTTCTTATCGTCATAAGCGAAGTCATATGGCATGTTAAAGCCTGTTATTCCCTCAGGCTGCTGGGACTTCTGTGGTAATAATTCCCTTTTGTGAGAGTAACAATCTCTTGATATTTAAAAAATTACACAGTTTAGACACCTAAGCCCTAAAATATAAAATACATCTCGTCCTACACACTTCAAAGGCTCTTATCCTTTCATTCAGTTGTGACTTCCTCAAAAGACTCCTGCCTTCCAGAGAGTCATGAGGTCCTAGAAGGTCTTTTCCCTTAGTCATCGGTTTAGTCCTTTCCCAGTTTCCCCTGGTTTTTAAAAAGAGCAAATTATAATACTCAATTGACTTAGCAAAACCTTATATTTAGCTAGCTTGGCTACCTTAGTAGTCTCCTTCTAAGGTTTCCTATGTAAGAGGATCTGTGACGAGATGAAGGGGGCAAGGATTCAGAAGCTGGGCACAATCTGAGCTGATACTGCTTTAAAGTATTTCCCAGTCTGCCACAGACACTGGAGAGGAGGAGGGAGGGGTTCAAGGTACAAACACACCATGAGCACACACGGCTGTGACTGTTCGCTCAGGCAACCCCACTGGAAGGTGGCGTGCTGCCGCTCCTACCTCCTGGTCGTCAGTGTTGCTTGAGCACCGAAGGAGTGTGGCCCAGCCTTTCGGGTGCAGCTGTAAGGATGTGATGCAGTTTCCGCGGTCTCTCTCACCAGGAACTTCTGGGGTTAAGACTTCAAGACTATTTCGTGGTGAAACTCCTGATAAGAAAGTTAGGATGTGAGATTTGTATTATCAAAGGACTGAGGCAGCCCATCAAAGCTTTGATTTCTGGCTGCCACCCCTGCCCCGGCCTTCATTCCTTTGTCAGTCCCTTGTGCTACCACATGTAAAAGAAAACAAAAACAAAAACAAAACTATGGTGCCCCTCAGTGTATGGGGAAAAGGTACGAGTAGAACTAAAGAATCCAAGTTCCCGCAGCAGGAATCAGTGACCTAAGACTAAGGCCTTAAAGCTGACTAGAGGTCCTTTTGATTAGAATCTACATCTCAGAAAACTCTTTAAGAATCAAAGTTATGTCGGGGCGCCTGGGTGGCTCAGTCGGTTGAGCATCCGACTTCGGCTCAGGCCGTGATCTCACGGTTTCTGAGTTCAAGCCCTGCGTCGGGCCCTGTGCTGACAGCTCAGAGCCTGGAGCCTGCTTCGGATTCTGTGTCTCCCTCTCTCTGCCCTTCCCCCACTCACACTCTGTCTCTCTCAAAGGTGAATAAACGTTAAAAGAGATAAAAAAAAAAAAAAAAAAGAAATGTCATATGAAAGGAATCTGGAAAAGTAAAAGGTAATTCTCATCCTCAAAGGAAGTGCTCTCTAGTCCAGAGAAGGAAATAATTGGAAGCTATGAAGGCTGCCTTTAATATAAATAAAGGCTATTATGTGTGCAAGGAGCAGGACTTCCGGTCCCCCAGGACAATACTCTAAACGACAAACAGACCTATAATTTTAGAGGTGAGGAAGAATGTTTCACATACAAGGGGCAGGGAGACCTCGCAGTCATACATATGCCCCGCACTCTGTTACCGCCCCTCACGTCCCTCTGCCCAGCACCCAGTAAAAGTGACTGGTGCAGTCAGTCATTACTAACGGGAGTTCTGTCCTCTCCCTCAGGTATGTGGAGAACCACTTTCGTACACATTATAAAGAAAGCAGTTTAGAAATTTAATATCAAGAGAAATATTTCCACACTTCTCTACCTGTGGAAGGAGTTGCTCCGAGGATTATGAGCTCCCTCTGTCAGACCCTTTGTAAATTGCTTTTCAAATGCGTTATCTTCTTTAAAAGATTCCCTTTAGATTACTACAGCATTGATGGAAACCTGTGAAGCTCTAAATTACATTGTTACAACCAAACTATACCCAAATAATGATTTCACATGTGACTGAACTTTAATAACAATTTTAGAGAAAAACAGCTATTCAAGAATCAATTTTGAAAATCTAACAAATGCAGAAAAGAAACCCATCTACATAGGTAAGTAGTGGTTTTTGAGCTGTGCTCTTTGGAGGTTCCTCCAGAGCTGGCAAAAGGAGGGAACCGCATGGGGAGGGGGTAGGGAAGACTGGTCAAGGACCTCCTTAATTCCACCAGAGTGTCTGCACTTTATGCCACAATCTACAGCAGATTTCACGTCAAAAATAGAGTTCTAGAGGTGCCTGGCTGGCTCGGTTGGTTACCATCTGACTCTTGATCTCGGGCTCCTGAGTTCAAGCCCAACGCTGGGTACAGAGATCACTTTAAAAAAAAAAAGAAAAGTTCTAATCCTGAAATGAGTTTGAGAGCCTCCGTTCCATATAGCTACCGTGTCTTGCCAAAGTATGGTGCTAACGTATCCTGACGCCCTGAAGACGCAGGATTGCCAACATTCAGAGCACCCTTATGTATGAGCCCCACCTTCTTCTCTGTGCTGTGTCTAGGCTCTCTGTACACCGTCTCTTCTCTGGTTGCCAACTTTATATCATGAAACTGCTGTGTGGTTTGGTTTTTGGGGTTACCACTTCAACAACCAACCATGTTAACTATTCTTGAGTTTCTTTTTCTCATGGATGGTTCAATCAATAAAGATTTTTCTCAATGATTATTAAGAGCCTCAGCTTGTTTTCCATAGCCACAGTAGAAGAACAGGTAGAACTGATACAGTAAGTTTCAAATCAAAAGAAAAATATTTCACATCTGGGCATAAATCTCTAAATTTAACAGGAATTTTTAACCTTAAACATCACAGTCTTGAATACGTGGAGAAAAGTAGATAGGCTCTAGGTTTAGGAAGGGCTCTCAAACCATTCTACAGACAAGTAGTCATGCAAAATAATCAAGTATGCAATTATCAAGCATTACCAGGGAGGCTGCCCAGGGAAAACACAAAATAGAGGTCTAATGGATAGTCCCTCCCCTGAAGGTCTAGAAAGAAGCCATGCTCTTCTCCAAAAGGTGACCCAAAATTACAAAAACAAACCCCCCACCTCACATTTGGCCATCGGTCCACAAGGAGGAGGACAAACAAAAAGTGCTGTAACAGCTTAGATGTGAACTGGGATGGAGAGGTAGGTGAAGTCTGCATAGGTAGTAGAAAGCACTTCCCACAGGGGGTGGAAAGAATAGGCTATACAGCTAGTTCTGCCAGAGCGGTGGGAGAAAACTGGCAAAAGCAGAGTGGGGACAGATTGTACCCCACAATCCCTCTAAGGCTATCAGGTGCTGCTCGGATAAAGAAATGGCAGAGCAAAAAGGCTACTGGGCTGGAACCAAGCAGTTTTCACAAGCACCTGACAAGTCACTACTTCATATTTATACAGGACCATAACATGCATAATCTCATTTAATTGCCATAAAAACTTTGATTGCAATCTACAGGTCCTACCTACTTTTTCTCCAATTTAGACCAAACTAAGTCCAGTAAATAAAACCAAAGCTCAAATTCCAACAAAGATTTAAGCCCAAGATACTCAACCCTAGAGACTCTGGTTAGACTTTTGAAAATGACTGAGGGACAGAGAATAACCTCTTCTTTATTGGCTTTTGTTTGTATGGATTAAAACTAAACTAAAGAAAGCTATTTGGTAGAATCTGTTGTAAATTATAAAATCCAACTGTTAACCTACCTTCTCTTTGTGAGGCTCGTGACATGTATTTCTCAGAAGATGAATTAGAATCACTATGATGACAAGGTGAACCAGAAACTCTAGGACCAGATGAACCTGAAGTGGTCAGATCTTGAAAATACAAAAAGCTGACAATAAACTTAGCAAAACTTAATGTCTCTTAACTTTTTAATCATTTAGTTGAAGCATACTGTTAAAGTCCATCTGAAACCTGGCAAGTACATGCCCACTTACAGCTGGCCTATAAGACTGAGGTAGGGAGGGCAGCTCTTTGAAGTGTTCTAAGGCCTGGCCCCTTTCTAAAATCTCTTCTACCGGGGCAGCTGGAGGGCTCAAGTCAGTCGAGCATCCAACTCTTGATTTCAGCTCAGGTCATATTTCACGAACTGTGAGCATGGAACCTGCTTGGGATTCTCTCCCTTGTTCTGACCCTCCCCTGCTCATGCATGCTTTCTCTCTCAAAATAAATAAACATTAAAAAATAAAATCTCAGGGGCACCTGGGTGGCTCAGTTGGTTAAGTGTCCGACTTTGGCTCAGGTCATGATCTCACGGCATGAGTTCGATCCCTGCATCAGGTTCTGTGCTGACAGCTTGGAGCCTGGAGCCTGCTTCGGATCCTCTGTCCCTCTCTCTCTGCCCCTACCCTGCTCGCTCGCTCTCAAAAATGAAAACATTAGAAAATAATAAAAAATAAAATCTCTTCTACCAATGACTTAAGTGGAATAAAAATGACACACCAAACAAACATAGGAGCATCTTTGGGTTGCCCATCATTTCTGTAGTAAAATAGAACAAGAAAATTCAATAAACACGAGAATGGAGGAGTTCAACCTGTTTATTTAATCTTAGAGTCCAAACACCAAGTCCATTACTGAGAACATTAAATGATCCTTCTTAAGCATGCCAAAAAAATTCGAAAATCATTCTGGAAATTATGTGAATACTATCTTTGAAATGCAATACAAACTCTATACTGAAACCTGTAGAAAAATCATCAGATGGTTGGGTCTGATGTATTCCTCCAAATAGCAATCTATTTCATCACACTCTTCTAGTGGCCCCACACTTTCATGAAGACTTCTTAATCTAATTCCCTTTGAGGTTATTATCAGAATTAACCTTAGAAGACAAAACATTCTTGGTTTTTGAATTAAAAAAAATACCAACTAGACCTTCTAAAATCACTACTTCTCACTAAGCTGATTACTAATGTTTAACCTAAAAATAAATTTCTGAATGTAAAAGGACTCTACTCACATATTTAGGAAATGCCTTGCATTGCAAATACGTTGGTAAAACTTAAATTTCTACTTTTAGCAGTAAATTGGGCAAATGCAGTATAATGAGGCCTGCATTATCCCAAAGGAATCTTCAAAGGTGGCCCTATATAGACAAGAGAAAGAGTCCAACCATCTGAAGCCAATTTTAAATAGCAATTTATAAATAAACATTATGTGTTCCAAATGCTTACGTCTGGGTAAACACAAAATTATGTTCCTGGAACAGCCCTCTTCTTCCCAAAGGTGATGAAATATAGTGTCTATCATATAAAATGTAGATGAATTATGGTGCATAAGTTTTTCTGAGCCCCAATTTCACTGAAGTCTAATGGAATCAGCAACAGGAAAAATAGGGCTTTAGCAAGAGGGTATTTAGGGGCTGTGAAATAGGATGGCACCAGCTACCTGGGTATGGACATCTTATAGTCTAGGATATACTAGAGACTTAAAATTCTATATTGAATATATCTTTTTCTTAAGGTTTATTTATTTTTGAGAAAGACAGAGTGCAAGCATGGGAGAAGTAGAGAGAGAAGGAGACTCAGGATCCGAAGCAAGCTCCAGGCTCTGAGCTGTCAGCACAGAGCCTGATACAGGGCTGGAACCCATGAACCGCGAGACCATGACCTGAGCCAAAGTCAGATGCTTACCCAACTGAGCCACCCAGGTGCCCCATATATTGAATATATCTTAAAAGCTCTGCTGGGTTCCAGAAGGACTTAAAAAGATTGATACTACCTTGGGCTACCACTGATTTTTGAGGTAGTGATGATCTAGATAATTGATGAAAGATTTCTGGATAGCATAGCTAAAAGGAAGTATTTTTAGAGTTAGCAGTTCTTTGCCCTAGATCATTTGTGATACAGAAGCATTGATTTATGCTATGTCAGAGATTTATATAGGTCATACTTCCTTGGGAAAAAAGCTCTCACTGGGCTTTCCAAAAAATATCTTCTAATTTTCTTCCCTTTCTCCTGCTATCATTCTCAGAATGGAAACATATGCCATCCCTTTGTGTGAGATTCTTTGGAAAACTTTCTTTGATCAAAAAAGAAAAGCTTACCTGAACTTGATGTAGTTCTTCTTGCTCTCAAAATAGGATAGCTGCCTACTTCTAAAGACTTGGTTAAGTCAAGATCATGCAAAATCAAGAGATATCCAGAGGACGTTGAGATCAACATTTTCGAACAATCTGGTGTTAATCTCATTCTCATGAGAAAACGTGTGTGAAAGAATTTCTTATGTGGACACCCATCTTCTGTACACCTACAGAAGAAATCAAACCAACAAAACCTAGAATTATCATAAATATAAGGATTTGGTTGATAGTCATAATTCTGAACGTCCAACTAGAATTTACAGTCAATTTGTACTTAGCTTTACGGACATTAACAATTAACAAATTTGGTTGTTTTGCTCATCATTCCTTCTTTCATCTCCAACTTTCCATTTTATTCTTTCTTTCTGAAGTGCGTGTGTGTGTGTGTATATATATATATATATATTTTTTTTTTTTTTTAATTTTAATTTTTTCTGAGAGAGTGAGTGAGCAGAGAAGGGGAGGGGGGAGGGGGAGAGAGAGAATCTTAAGCAGGTTCCACACCCAGCATGGAGCCTGATGTGGGAGTCGAGCTCACGACTGTGAGATCATGACCTAAGCTGAAATCAAGAGTTGGACACTTAACTGAGCCAACCCAGGCAACCCCTGAAGTATATATTTTTAGGTAAGACTTTGTTGAGGTAAACTCTCACTTTATGTTGTTCTGAAAATCTGTATTTCCCTCTTTATGGAGGGTGGGAAGGAGTGGAAGAGACAGGCAGAGGGAGAGAGAGAATCTCAAGCAGGTTCCATGCTCAGTACAGAGTCTGACACAGGGCTTGATCCCACAACCCTGGGATTGTGACCTGAGCCAAAATCAAGAGCTGGACACTCAACCGAACTGAACCACCCAGGCACCCCTACTCTTCTTTTATGATTAAAGATTTAGCTGAGTACACAACTTCAGTTATGTACTCAGTTATGTACTTCAATTCTTTCTGACTACTGGGGATAATATTCCACTGAATTCTGGCTTCCTAACCCTAACCCTGTTGTTATTTGTAGGTGCTATTAGTCAATTGTTTATTTGGATCATATTTCCCCCTTTGGGCTTACCTTCTCTTTGTCTTTGGAGTACTGCAGCTTCACTCTGATATGTCTAAATTTGGATTTCTACTGTATTGGGATTCATTTGACCTTCTAAATTGTAAGATTAATATCCATTTATTCTGGGAAATTATCCATTATTATTCCAGTATTGCCTCTTACCTATTTTCTCTATTCTTTTGGGGCTCCAAATAGATGTTTGAAACATTCACATTTGACTCTCCTGGTCTCATAACTGCTCTTTCATGTATTCTATCTCATTTCTGTTGCATTCTGGATGATTTTTCAGTATCTATCTTCCAATCTGTTTTTTAAAGTTGTGTCTAATCTGTGACCTGACCCATCCTGGTTTTTAAAAAGTTTTTCAATTACCGGGGCACCTGGGTAGGTTAGTCAGTTGTCTGACTTTAGCTCAGGTCATGATCTCACGGTTCTTGAGTTGAAGCCCCCCTTGGGCTCTCTGCTGTCGGCGCAGGGCCTGCTTTGGATCCTGTCTCCCTTTCTCTCTCTCTGCCCCTCCCCTGCTTGAGCACTTGGCTCTCTCAAAAATAAGCAAACATTAAAAATTTTTTTCTTAATTACTAAAAACTATATGCTTAAAATTTTTTTAAATGTTTGTTGTAATGATTAGGAACACTACTGATTTTTACATTTTGATCTTAACTCTTGCAATCTTGGTTGGTTAACTCTTACTAATTCTGATAATTTGTCAGAATTTCTAAGGTTTTCTATATAGACCAGGGGTCAGAAAACTGGTCTATGGGCCAAGTCTGGATTATTGCTTGTTTTTGTATAGAAAGTTTGTTGGAACACAGCAATACTCATTTATGTATTGTCTATGGCTGCTCAGAAACCACATAGCACACAAAGCCTAAAATATTTATTGCACAATCCTTTACAGAAAGCTTACCAACCCTTCATACAGACAAATATCATCTGTGAATGCTGTTTTTTCAATTGTTCCTTTCCAATCCTTATATATTTATTACACTGCACCAAGTAGGACTCTGCCTACAACCACCCCAAAACAATGGTAAACAATAGCAGTAACAGCAGGCATGTTCTTCTTTAAAGCAAGCTCTACATTCAATGTCAGGCTTGAACTCTTGACCCCAAGATCAAGAGTTGCATGCTATACCGACTAGGCCAGCCAGGTTCCCCTACAGAGAAAACCTCTACAAGTTTCACCATTTAAAAATGTCACGTAGGTTTTAGTGTATACTTTTGAAGAGTTTCCTACTATTTCTAGTTAAGTTTTTAACAGCTTTATTAAGATATAATTTACATGTCATAAAATTCACTCATCTTAAGCTTACAATTAAGTGATTTTTTAGTGGAGTTGTGCAATCATCAAAACAATCCAATTTTAGAACATTTTCTTCATTCTAAAAACCCTACCCTGTCCATTAGCAGTCACTTCCTATTCCTACTCCAAGTTGCAGGGAACCACTAGCCTACTTCTGTCTCTGTAGATCTGCTAATTGTGGACATTTAATGGTAATAGAATGATATAATAAGTGGTCTTTTGGTTTGGCTTTTTTTACTTAGCATAATTTTTTTGAGGTTCATCCATGATGTAGCACATCAGTACTCTGTTCCTTTTCATTACCAAATAGTATTCTACTATATAGATATACTACATTTTGTTTACTCACTTACCAGTTGATAAATATTTGTATTTGTTCCATATGGGGGATATTATGAATAATACTGTTATAAGCATTCATGGACAAATCTTTGTGCGGTGATATGTGTTCGTTTCCCTTGGGTACATACTTAGGAGTGCAATGGCTGGTCAGATGATAACTCTATGTTTAACATTTTAAGAAACTACCAAACTGCTTTATAAAGTGGTTGAACCATTTTACATCCCTACCAGCAATCTACGAGGATCCAGTTTCTCCACGTTCTTACCAATACTTGTTATTGTCTTTTTCAATTAAAGCCATCTTAGTGGATGTGAAATGATTTCTCATTTTGGTTGACTTGCATTTTCCTTACGACTAATGATGCTGAACATCTTTTCACATACTTATTAATCATCTGTATATCTTCCTTGGTGAAATGTCTACGTAGATATTTTGCCGATTTTTAAATTGGGTTATTGTGTACATAGAAGTTACAAGAGTTTTTTATATATTCTGGGCACACATCCTTTATCAGATATATATTCTCTCCCATACTATAGTCTTTCTTTTCACTTTCTTAATGGTGTCATTTGATACACAAAAGTTTTTAATTTTAATGAAGTCCATTTTATCAGTTTGTTAAATCACTCATACTTTGGTTTGCAAGAAGATTTGCTCCCAAGTTTTCTCCTCTGAGATACATGATTGTAGCTCTTATATTCAGGTTGAAATCCATTTTGAATTGCTTTTTTTTTAATGTAAGATAAGGGTCTAAATTCATCTCTTTGCATCTGGATATCCAGTTGCACAGACATCATTTTTTGAAAAGTCTATCCTTTCCTGAACCACTGAATTACCTTGATACCTTTGTTGAAAATCAGCTCATCATAAATGCAATGGTTTATTTCTGGATTCTCAATTCTGTTCCTCATTTATATGCCTGTCCCATGCCAGTAAACACCTTGTCTTGATTACTATGGCTTTGTAGTAAGTTCTGAAATTGAGAAATGTGAGAGTCTTCCAATTTTGTTCTTTTCAAGGTTGTTTTGGCTATTCTGGGTCATTTGTATTTCCATGTAAATTTTAGAATCAGTTTGACAATCTGTCCAAAAAAGGCAGCTGGAATCTTGACAGGGATTGCATTGAATATGATATAGTACATTAATTGATTTTTGGATATTAAACCAACCCTGTTTTCCTGGGATAAATTCTACTCAGTTGTGACATATAATCCTTTATACATGATACTATGTTTGATTTGCTAATATTTTGTTGAGGATTTTTCTATTTTCTTCTTTTTGTTTTTGAGGAATATTGGTCTGTAGTTTATTATTCTCATGATGTTTGTGTGGTTTGGTATCAGAGTAATAATACCAGCCTCATAAAATGAGTTGGGAAGTATTCTCTCCTCCTCTATTTTCTCCAAGTTTGTGAAAGACTGGTATTATTTATTCTATAAATGTTTGGTAAAATTCACCAGTGGAGACTTTTGGGACTGGGCTTTCCATTGTGGAAAGATTTTTAAAGTACCACTTCAATTTTTAGCTTGCTTTAGGTCTGTAGGTCTATAGATTTTCTATTTGTTTTTGAGTCAATTTAAATAATTTGGGACTCTCTAGGTATTTAAGTTGTCTAATTTGTTGCCATAAAGTTGTTCATTGTATCACTTTATAATCCTTTCAATCTCTGTAAGACTGGTAATAATGGGGGCTCTTGGGTGGCTCAGTTGATTAAGCGTCAGACTTTGGCTTAGGTCACAGTCTCACGGCTTGTGAGTTCAAGCCCCCCTTTAGGCTCTGTGCTGACAGCTCAGAGCCTGGAGCCTGCTTCAGATTCTGTGTCTCCTTCTCTCTCTGCCCCTCCCCTGCTCGCTCACTCTTGCTCTCACTCTCTCTCTCTCTCAAAAATAAACATTAAAAAAATTATTTTTTAAAGACTGGTAATAATGTCCCCTCTTTGTTTTTAATTATGAACGAATGTTGAATTTGATTCCTTGATGAAAACAATCATATGGACTTTTGGTTTAACCTGTTAATGTGATAAATTAAAAGAATTTTAATATAACTTCTATTGATAGATTTAAGATTGTAAGTAATCTACACCCAACGTGGGGCTCGAACTCATGACCCCAAGATCAAGAGTCACATGCTCTATTAAGTCAGCCAGGCGCCCTGGATATATCTTTTGATGCCTTGAATAAACCAAACTTGGCCATGATATTTTGATTAATAACTTACAGGATTCAGTTTCCTTTTGTTTAGAATATTTGCATCTACATTCACATTGCAGACTGACCTTTCAATTTTTTTCTTCTAATATTATCTTTGTTGGGTTTAGGTATTAAGGTCACTCTAACTTCATACATGAGGTAAGGAGAATTCCCCCTTTTCCTGGAATTTGAACAACTTAATAAAATTGAAGTGTTCTGTTTCCTATATAATCTGGTAGAAGTCACCTGTAAAACTGACAGGCCTGCTGTTTTATTAAATTTTAATTGATACTTTCTATTTCTTTAATGGCTATAGCAGAGGCAATATTCAGAATATTTAAATAACCAGCAATGCAAAAAACTAGCCAGTGAGAATTGATGTGGTTGGCAGTGTTGGAACTGGGTCTGGGAATTACTTTACTGTAATATCCTAAAACTCCCATCAGCAAAGGGTACCTCTCAGCAGTCTGTAAACCAGGGTCTGACTCTTGGCTTATATTTTACTGTCTTAATGACAGTCATGTGGGCAAGTTACCCAACGTCTCTGACTTTGTGGTTTCCTTAGCTTTAAAATGGGATAGTAATAGTTATCTAACTCATGAGGCTGTTCTCAGAATTAAATGAGATGCTGAACGACCCCCACCCCAAAGGGGGAGAGGTGTTTTAAGGGGGACTTTAGCTACTAGATCATAGAGAGATCTTGAAGGAAGTGTCCCCAAAAGGACCTGGGTAACCAGAAGGTGACAGGATTTGACCACCTGGGGATGATTCAGGATAGTGGCTATTTATCATTTAATACAGAAGAATACTATTTTAACAACTACTTCAGATAAATCAGTACATATTGGTTAAATAATCAGTCCAGGTGATAGGTCTATTTCAGGTTTTCTATTTCTCTTGATCAGTTTTGCTAAGGATTTTGAGTAAACTGTCTACTTCATCAAAGTTTTCAAGTATACTGGCATAAAGGTGAACTTATTATCTTATTGTATACTTTTTATTGTCTCCTTTTTTTATGGTTAAGATTATCTTTTGTCTGATTTCTCTTAACGAATCTTACCAGATAATTGCAATTTCAATTGGCTTTTTCAAAACACAGGCTTTAATTTCTTTTATCATTTCCATAATCTACTTTAATTGGGTTTACTTTTTAATCTTTTCCCAGTTGTTTTTTAATTTTTTTTTAATGTTTATTTATTTTTGAGACAGACAGAGCATGAAGGGGGAGGGTCAGAGAGAGAGGGAGACACAGAATCCAAAGCAGGCTCCAGGCTCTGAGCTGTCAGCACAGAGCCCGACGCGGGTCTCGAACTCACAAAACGTGAGATCGTGACCTGAGCCGAAGTCAGAGGCTCAACCGATTGAGCCACCCAGGTGCCCTTCAGTTTTTTTGATAAAATACTTAGTTCACTAATTTTTAGTTTACTGATTTCACTAATAATTTCTTCTTCAATCCATGAATTATTTAGGAAATGAGTTTATAAACCCAAATATGGGAATTTATAGTTACCTCTGTTAATTAAACTATACTGAGGTCAGGGAAAATCATTTGTGTGATAACAAATCTCTGATACTGGTTGAAACTTACTTTGTAGTCCGGTACATGCTCTCCTTTTGTACATACATGTTCTGAGTTTGCTTCAGAGGATGTATTCACTATGTGTTGGGAGAATTCTAAATATGCCTAATAAATCAAGTTTATTAACAGTAAAATCTCCTATGGTCTTTTTAACTTTTTGGCCTATTTTATCTATTAGTAAATGAGAGAATGGCTTAATATTTTCCACTGATATGGAAAATATTTTTTTTTATAATCTGTCCATTTTTGCTTTTTATGGTTTGAAGCTATGTTTATTAGATACATATAAGAATTTTATATTCCAGTGAAATAAACCTTTTAATTAATATAGTACCTTTTTTATCACTAATTATGCTTTATGCCCTAAACTCTCTTTTGTCTGCTATCAATGGAGATGTAACTGTTTTTCTTTGATTTGAATTTGCCTGTTATTTTTTTCCCCATCCTTTTACTTTCAGATTTTTTCATTGGTATGTTTTAGGTGTGTCCCTTACAAAGAACATATAGTTTGGTTTTCTTTTTTAATCCAATCTAACCCCATCTGTCTTTTAAATGGCTACTTTAGTCCATATATATTTATTGCAATTATTGATATTTGGATTATCTGCCTACCATATTTTTGTGCTTCATGATTTACCTGTATTTTTTTTTATTTTTTTAATGATTTCCCCTCCCTTCTCTGCCTCTATTGGATTGATCATGTTTTAATAGCTTTTGTCCACTAATTTAGAAGTTACCATTCATATTCCTATTCAAGTTTTATTTCTAAATTTAAAAAATAAATTTTAACAGTTATTTGTGTCTCAAAGATAATCTATATATCCTTTGCTGAAACAGTATGCATAGTTACAAATCTTTAAAAATATCCCATCTTGGGGCACCTGGGTGGCTCAGTCAGTTATGTGTCCAACTTCAACTTAGGTCATGATCTTGCTGTTTCTGAGTTGGAGCCCCATGTCAGGCTCTGTGCTGACAGTTCAGAGCCGGGAGCCTGTTTCAGATTCTGTGTCTCCCTCTCTCTCTGCCCCTCCCCTTCTTGTGCACTCTCGCTTGCTCTCTCTCAAAAATAAACATTAAAAAAAATATATCCCGTCTTTTTACATATGACCTCTGAAAAGAATATTTCAGAAATGGTCCTGTATATCACTGTATTGTCATTTCACCACAGCTAGCAACAGGTATATTTAAAAAAATTTTTTTTAATGTTTATTTTTTGAGAGACAGAGCATGAGCAGGGGAGGAGCAGAAAGAGAGGGAGACACAGAATCAGAAGCAGGCTCCAGGCTCCGAGCTGTCAGCACAGAGCTGGATGTGGGGCCTGAATTCATGAACTGTGAGATCATGACCCAAGCCGAAGTCGGGTGCTTAACCAAATGAGCCACCCAGGTGCCCCAGCAATAGGTATATTCTAATCATTTCTCAAATTTCAACTCTTTAAATGGTCAATTTCTCTATAAGGAGACATTGAAGTATTTCACAACAGAGGCATTACTGACACGGTAGATTATTAGTTGACTGTGTAAACTGTCCCATGCAGGATGTTTAGAAACTCAGATCCCTGCTGATTAAACGCCAGTAGAAATCCTCTCTTCTCCCATATTAACAACTAAAACTGCATGATACATTTACTTCCAAACATCCCCCTATGGATCGGTACCACTCCAAATGAGAAAGTACTCTTTGATGCATGAAAAACAAGTACAAAAGTTACAAAATAAATAGATTTAGAATCAAAGGACCAAAGAATGAAAAACATTTCTGTTCCATAGAGAAAATAATATTTTTCCTTAAAGTCCTTAAATTTAGGAAACTCAACTTGTAAACCAGTTTTCATCATTAACTATACTACTTGGTCTCCTTTCCATATAATTTTCTCCAAATTTTTTACTTGCAATATATGACTAAGTGCAAGTAACAAAAGATGGAATCATTTTTTGATTGTTTTTCCCAAAGGCAGGTTCTTCCTCCTTAAAGATACAGAAAAGCTAAGACAAATCTCTGAATTTAGTTACCATCTTAAACAAATTTTTTGTTCACAATCCTAACATGGTCTCCCATTCACAAACCTGTTGGTGTCCCAAATAATGACATTTCCATCAAATCCTGATGTTACTAAGAGTCTTGTATTAGTATCATATTCGATGTTCTTCACCCAGCTAGTGTGACCATGTAAAGTGCATACTTTGGTGTTCAATTTTCTCAGATCCCACAGTGCTATTGTAGTGTCATCAGAGCAGGTAGCAAACAGCCGGTTATCAAGAAATCTACAAAGCAGAAAAGAAAAACTGGTTTATTTAATCTCTTGTTAAAGAAAATTTGAGAAATAGTCTCTATATTACCTAATCAAGAAAACAAACAAAAAAGGACTACAAACTTACTGTATAAACCCAGTGATTCTGATATACAATAAACAGTAAGTAGAATTCATATGATCACAAGGAAAGATACTATGACTTAATGAGGACCACAATGCAACTTTATCCATTTGCTTTGTATTATTGATTTTTATTTGGAAATGGAAATAGGGGTGGGTATTTGGAGAACAGTGCTAAAGAGCAAGAACTTTAGAATCTGTATAATAGGAAACACAAATGGTGAGAGACAATAGGAGACAGAGATTTTAAAGACTTGATTGCAGAGCGAGATATGTTAAGCTGTAAAGGTTCATAATTGTAACAAATATTTACTCTGCTACAAGTAATGTCTTCCTGTTTAGAAGACATTTACATACAAAAATTTCTGTTAAAATGCCATGTTTGTAATCTATTAATTCAAAGAAAGGCATTCCCCAAATAATCATACTTAGCAACATTAGAACCAGTTAAGATTACAGGGTAGATAATTAAAATACAAAGTGCCAGGTACATAACAAGCACTTACAAATATTTATTATTAGTGATTGAGATAGGAGTTCACTTTCAAGTTCATAGTTCAAACTTTTTATTATTTTACACTGATTTCTCAATCCTTAGAATATATTTTATACAAATACTTAAAAAATAACAAATCTACCAATCACCCTTGAATTTCTGCCTAATTCAACATGAGGATGCCCTAGCTATGCTGTTACATAAAATTCCCTAATGTCTTACAGAAATAAGAAATGAATTCTGGAGCTTCTTTCAAGATAAAATTATACATAATTATTTTTTATCAGAAATCAACCCCAGTAACCACAAATATCATAACGACCTTCCTAAAATTTAACATGGTTTTAAAATTCCAGAATTTTGTACAAGCTGTGTCTACTACTTGAAACCACCTTCCTCCTACCCCTTGACCTGGCTAACGCTTGCTTTCTTTTTATTCGGCTAATTCCTCCAGGAAGACTTATCTCACTATCCAGCCTGGGGTAGATTCACCAATCTTCTAATCTCCCAAAGTACTCTATAAGTCTATCATAACATTTAATATTACAGTGTAAGGAATAATTTCATAAGGCTATAAATTCCTTGAAGGCAGGGGAACTGTCTGCACAGTTCATTGTTAGATCTGCAGTACCCAACACACAAAGTGCCAGGTACATAACAAGCACTTACAAATATTTATTATTAGTGATTGAGATAGGAGTTCACTGCCTAGTGGAGAAGAAATTATAAATAATTATACAAAATAATTGTGTGGAATAAGCAAAGAAAAGGGTAGTTAGGAAAGACCTCCTGGTAGTGTCATTTGAACCAACTTTAAAAGATGAGCAGGCAGGGGCACCTGGGTGGCTCAGTCTGTTAAGTGGCTGACTCTTGACTTTGGCTCAGATCAGATCTTATGGTTCCTACAATCAAGCCCCACACTGGATTCCGCCCCCCCCTTTCTGCCTCTCCCTCATTCATGTTCTCTCTCTCAAAGATAAAATAAACAAATAACATGAGCAGACACTCCCTAAGTGGCCAAAGGGGTAAGCAAAAGTAAAGAGGCATGTGGAGGGATGGTATACTCTGAGAGGCAACGGCAGTTAGAGTGTTGTGTGCGGCAAAGTAGATATAAATAGAGAATATATCATGGATTTATTCTATAGCGATTCCCAATATTTTTATATTATGCATACATGCCTGTTGGAAATATCTTTTTAAATGGAAAAAATCCACCATAAAAATAACTACAGTTATTGATATGTAGCCTAATTCTTATATTGCAAGCCTAATATCATAATTATTTTGCCATGTTATTAAAGATTGACAAAATCTTTTTTTTTAATGTTTATGTATTTTGAGAGAGAGAGAGAGAGAGAGAGAGAGCAAGCAGAGGAGGGGCAGAGAGAGGGAGAGAGACAATTCTAAGCAAGCTCCACGCTGTCAGCACAGAGCCCAACATGGGGCCCAATCCCACAAACCACGAAATCACGACTAGAGCCGAAATCAAGAGTCCGACACTCAACCAACTGAGCCACCCAGGCAGCCCAACAAAATCATTCTTTTTTTTTTTTTTTTAATTTTTTTTTTTCAACGTTTATTTATTTTTGGGACAGAGAGAGACAGAGCATGAACGGGGGAGGGGCAGAGAGAGAGGGAGACACAGAATCGGAAACAGGCTCCAGGCTCTGAGCCATCAGCCCAGAGCCCGATGCGGGGCTCGAACTCGCGGACCGCGAGATCGTGACCTGGCTGAAGTCGGATGCTTAACCGACTGCGCCACCCAGGCGCCCCCCAACAAAATCATTCTTAATGGCTGAATAGATTCACTGTATGAATGAACCATAATATTTTTTTTATAAATGATACATCATCCTTGGTTTTATTTATTTTTAAATATTTATTTATTTTGAGAGAGTGAAAGGGTGAGCAGCAGAGGGGGAGACAGAGAGAGAATCCCAAAGCAGGCTCTGCACTGTTATTGCAGAGACCACTGTGGGGCTCAATCTCATGAACCGTGAGATCATGACCTAAGCTGAACCGATGGACCCACCAGCACCCCCCCCCCCCCACCGTTTTCTTTCTTAAAAACTAATAGGGGCACCTGGGTGGCTCATCGGTTAAGCGTCCCACTTAAGGGCTCAGGTGATGATCTTGCAGTTCGTAGTTCAAGCCCCACATCAGGCTCTGTGCTGACAGCTCAGAGCCTGGAGCCTGCTTCTGATTCTTACTCTCTCTGCCCCTCCCCGACTTGTGCTCTTTCTCCCTCTCTCAAAAAAATAAACCTTAAAAATTTTTTTTAAAACAAGCAACTGTTGAATGTTTACATTGCTTCCAGTTTTTTCCATCTGTTCAGTGATGAACATCCCAACAGCTGAATATTAATCACATCCTTAGTTATTTTTCTAAGTACATTCCCAGAAGTTTTATTGTTAAATAAAAAAGGATTTTAAAAAATATAAGGCTTTTTTGATACACACAGCCAAACTGTCCTCTGTAGTTCCACCAGCAGTCAGGGGTATCCATTTCTCTAATTTTTTAATTCTCTTAAATGCCAGGAAAAAAAAAATATCTAAATTGAAACTTTTATTTTTAGTAAAGTAGAACATTTTTCATACTAATTGGAAGATTATATTTCTCCTGTGAATTGCTATTCATGTTCCTTGCTGATTTTCCTATTGCTGTATTATTTTTATTACCAAGTTATAAATTCTCTATAGTAACAATATAGCTCAGTTTTTCAAAGATAGTATGTTGAATATTTTTTGCACATATACTTCTTTGAATTTCATAGCATTTTTATTTTTTTAAGTAGGCTCTATGCCCAACATAACCCTGAGATCAAGAGTTGCACAGTCTACCAACTGAGTCAGCCAGGTGCCCCGCCACATATGCATCTGTCCTTCTATGTGATTTATGTATTTTCTTATTATATCAAAATTTTAGTGATTATATTATCAAGTTCATTTTTCTCCTATGGTTTTATCTTTACTGGTTAGGCTTTTTAAAATAAAAATATTTTAATGACTTCCTGACAGGAATTATATGATTGAAAAACATACACAATGACAAAAGGCTAATGGAGAATCAAACTTTTAAAATAAATTGATCATCAACATAGAGCATCTTCATACATTTAAAAAATTTACAGGATGGGGCACCTGGCTGGCTAAGTTGGTTGAAGCATCTGACTCTTGCTTTCAGCTGGGGTCATGATCTCACAATTCATGGGTTTGAGCCCCACATCGATCTCTGCACTAACAGTGAGGGGCCTACTTTGAGATTCTCTCTCTCCTCCTCTCTGTGCCTCTCCCCCACTTGCACTCTATTTCTCTCTCAAAATAAATAAATAAAAACTTAAAAATATAAATAAGAAATTTAGGGGAAAGATTTTATTTTATTTAGTCTACAGAAAATACTTAAAGTACATATGGATTCAAAGCTCCAGTGGGATTATACTGCCCAGTGGTCCACCCTGAAGGGTTTTGGCAAGAGAATGACACGATTAGAGAAGAGTTTCAGAAAGATCTCTGAGGTGGCCAAGTTTTCAAAACTTTTGTATTTTCATAAAAAATAAAGTGGGGGATCAGCTTTAAAATTTTTATCATAAGGCCACTGAAAAATTAGGCCATTGAAAAATTACCAATGTTGCATGAAAGATATTTTAATACCAATGATGTACAAAGAATATTATCTTGGAACAAAAGCTAACAATTTGAATTGAACAAATTTACCTTGATGAAAAATTCAACACTTTGAATTTAGGTTTCTCATTTTGCCTCAAAGTTTTACCTGTTAAAAAATCTTGATATTGAAGAATCATTGGTGAAGAGAATAAATTACAGAAAATTAAGAATGTAGATTAGGAGACCAGTTAAAGTACCCATAATTCTTATCCTAAAGGAAGCAGATGCAGAGAATGTAAAGTAGTAGACAAACCCTTGGAAATCTGGCTCAAACTTCTCAAATTAAAACTGTCTAGCCTAATAAGTTAATAAATATATTTTTTAACTTCATAGTCCCTAATAAGCAGGAGACACTCCACACACTGAAACCTATGAATTTATGAATTATAAAACTGCCCCATATGTCCCCATCAGACACCAACATATGACTATAACAGTTCTGGATAAACTGACATTTGGATAAACTGAGGTTTTCATTATCAGAGGTTAATTGGTAAAGGATAAGAGCAACTGAAATAGAATTTTCTTAAAACAGGTACCAACATTTCATTGTACGCAGGAAAGAAAGTATTGTCTAAAAACCAAAAATCATAAAAATGTTTAATATTTATTTTACATTTATTTAACTATGTGTAAATTCTTAGAATAAGAATAAGTTAAATGTTTGGGGTTTTTCTTGCATAATCTTTCCAATGAAATTATGACAGCAAAATATGATACCCTTCCTTA